TCTCAAAAAAAAAAAAAAAGAAAAGAAAGAAAAGGGAAGAGGGAAGGGAAAAACATTGAAAGTCTGGCTCTTCAAAAAAAACTTGTTAAGAAAATGAAAAGGCAAGCCACAGACTGGAAAAACTTATTCACAATACATGTATCTGACAAAGGACTTGTATCCAGAAAATATTTTTGAAAGCTTATAATTCAATAATGAGACAATGATCAATTTTTTTAAATAGGCAAAAGATTTGGAAAAACATTCTATAAAAGATAAATGAATACCCAATAAGAACATGAAAAAGCTGCTCATTATCATTTATCAGGGGAATGCAAATTAAAAGCACATTCATTAGAAGGGCTATTAAAATGATCAACAATACCAAAAGTAGAGAAGGATGCCAAACAACTACAAGGCTGGTAGTAACACAAAATGGGGCAACCTGGCTCGGAGTCCGTAACTCAGTGGTTAGGGCACCGGCCACATACACCAGGCCTGGTGGGTTTGAACCCAGCCTGAGCCTGCTAAACAACAGTGACAACAACAACAAAAGTAGCCAGGTGGTGGGCGCCTGTAGTCCCAGCTATTCTGGAGGCTGAGGCAAGAGAATCACGTAAGCTCAAGAGTTGGAAGTTGCTGTGAGCTGTGATGTCACCGCACTCCATAGTGAGAGTCTATCTCAGGAAAAAAAAAATGGGGCAACCACTTGGAAACGGATTGATAATTTCTTATGAACTTGAACACATATTCACTACACAACCCAACAATTCTACTTGTAGGTATTCACCCAAGAGAAACAAAAACTTATGTCCACAGAAAGACTTGTACACGAATATACATGGCAACTTGGTTATAGGCAAAATATGGCAACGACCCAAAGGTCCAACAAGTGAATGGATGAATAAATTGTGACAAATTTATACAGCAAAATGCTATTCAATAATCAAAAGGAATGAATTGTTGATATACCGACAATATGGCTAAATCTCAAAAACACTGTAAAACAATAAAGAATACTATATGATTCCATTTGTATGAAACTCTGGAAAAGACATGTCAAATTATAGTAACAGAATACACATCAGTGGTTTCTGGGACTGACAGTTAAGTAGGGATTGACTGAGGAAGGAACTTTGGGGGGGGTGACAGAATTGTGCTACATTCACTCAAGCAGTAGTTACTTGGGTATATACATTTGTCAAAATTCTTCAAAATGTAGGCTTGAAAGTAGATGCACTTCACTACATATAGTATATCTCCACTAAGTTGACGGTTTTTAAGTGGGAGAAAGGAATTACCAAGATGCTAAAAGTAGAGGGTAGGGATACGGATGATAGTTCTTTTTTTCTCTGTACTCATCTACGTCTTTAAAACTTCTCTCTTCCTGAACATCTAAAACAAATTTAGGCCAGATGCGGTGGCTCATGCCTATAATCCCAGCACTCGGGAGGCCAAGGGGATGGATTGCCTGAGCACACAGGTTTGAACCAGTCTGAGCCAGAACAAGACCTCTTCTCTAAAAAAAAGCTGGCGGGTGCCTGTAGTCCCAGCTACTTGGGGGGGCTGAGGCAAGAGGATCACTTGAACCCAAGACTTTGAGGTTGCCGTGAGCTAAGATGTCACTGCACTCTACCAAAGGTGACCAAGTGAGACTCTGCCTCAAAAAAGAAATTTAAACCAAGCACAGTAGTAAAAGTACTTTAATGATTTGATCATTTCACCCTTCAAAAAGAAAACGTATTTGGGACCTGACGTGTCCTACTGCTTCCTAATACAATTTTTTTAAAGTTTCTTACATGTATTTCAATAGCTTTTCAAAATCCTCAACAAAACAAAACATAAACCTTCCCTAAATTATTTTGTTCCCTAAAATAAATGATAATGAGTAAATTTTTCATGTTGTTTATTAGGTATTCATTTATCTTTTATAAAGTGTTTTTCCAAATCTGTTACCTATTTTTAAAAAACACCTTCCCTGGGCGGCACCTGTGGCTCAAAGGAGTGGGGCGCCAGCTCCATGTGCCAGAGGTGGTGGGTTCAAGCCCAGCCCTGGCCAAAAACTGCAGCAAAAAAAAAAAAACACCTTCCCTCATTTAATCCTCACAACAAGGATTAAATCTGTATCTTAGACAAATATATTTTATCCTCACTTTATGAACTTAATCTGTCTGCCAACTGTTTCAATCACATCCATTGGTGAAATGCAAAATTTTATTTCAAAAGTTCACTGAATTTTACTAATTTTCCTTTTCTTTCTTTTTTTTTTTTTTTTTAGAGACAGTCTCAGCTTTTCATCTCGGTAGAATGCCGTGGTGTCACAGCTCATAGCAACCTCAAACTCTTGGGCTTAAGCTTCTCTTGCCTCAGTCTCCCAAGTAGCTGAGACTACAGGTGCCTGCCACAGCGCCCATCTATTTTGTTGTTGTTGTTGCAGTTGTCATTGTTGTTCAGCAGGCCCAGGCCAGATTTGAACCCACCAGCCTCAATGTATGTGGCCGGCGCCCTACCTACCAAGCACCGCTGAATTTTACTGATTTTTAAACATAGTACAGTCCCAAGATTCTAAACATTTGGGTTTTGAGATATTCAAATTAATACATGCTACTCACAATGTGATAAAAGTCTAAATGGAAAAATATTTGCAGAATATATAACAAAGTTACTTTTTTATGTATAGAAACCTGTCCTAGGCTCAGCGCCTGTGGCTCAAGTGGCTAAGGTGCCAGCCACATACACCTAAGGTGGCAGGTTCAAATCCAGCCCAGGCCCGCCAAACAACAATGATGGCTGCAA